CGAAGACGTAGTTGATCTATCCGGCCTGTGCTATTGTTCAGCTGAAGAAGCGGTACGTGACTTTGCCATTCGTGAAAAGACAAGAGTAGAGGTTTTAATTTACCAATGAGAGAACTAAATCGCACGACAGAGAAGAATGGAGTGAAACTTTTCCTAACTCTGTAGCCTCTGGGAGATAAATACAGACGTCTCCGTACCGATCCCTCAGACTCTACTAAGCTTGTCTGTGAACTGTGAGACCTATGTAACCTAGAGCTCTGATAACAACTTGTCACGACCCGGATTTCACACCCTCGAGAGTCGTGATGGCGCCTACTGGTGAAAGCTAGGCAAGCCAAATTATCCTAATTACTTAACCTTTTCAAATTTTAAACAATTATCAGTGATAAGTAGATATCATGCAAATAGCGAAAATAATTAAGCGGAAGACAAAATCTGACAATTTATCTTTATACAAACTGCGGAAGTCTAAATATAACTCTACCCAGAATTTGGTGTAACAGCTTCACAGACGGTCTAAGAATACTACATACAAAGTCTGAAAGATAAAATAAACATTGTTTCTGAAATGAGTAAAGGAAACAGGATGAAGGAAAAGATAGGAGGTGACGCCAAGGCCCGTGGACGTCTGCAAGACTACCTCGTGTCGCCTGTGTGGGCTGAAGACAGCACCATCACTGCGGTCTAAGCACTCCGGTATCAGTATCTGCAAACAGTGCAGAGTATAGTATCAGCACAACTGACCTCATGTGCTGGTAAGTGTCTAGCCTAACCTCGGCGAAGTAGTGACGAGGCTAAGACCAGACTACCAAATAAACCTGTGCAATATAGCGTACAAAAATAATAGGAAGCAGGTAACAATGATGGCAACAATGATCAACCAGTGATATAAATAGCAGGCAACAAGAACACCATAAATGTTTCTCAACAAATAATAAATACAAGTGCAATCAATTAATCAAGTCCTTCAAATATAAATCTTTCGCCTATAAATCTTCAAGTAATAATCTCTAAAATAATATGTTTTTCAATAAATATATTTTGAATATATTTCCTTCAATTAAATATCTTTCAGATAAGCATCTTTTGAATATAATTCTTTCGAGTAAAGGTCACCTTGCGACACCTCATTTCATAATCATAAATAATATAGGTCTTAGCCCACTTTCATATTTTCACGGCACCTCGTGCCCATATTTATGTCACAACCGCACGGACAACTCACGTGCCATTAAATAAAACCATAATATTTTTCCCGGCACCTTGTGCCCACATATTTCTGTCTCACATTGCACAACAATATTCTCATGTTACTCAGCTCATAGGTTCCATAACCCAATACAATTAAGAATGTTTAAGGAGCCTCATTCACTTAACATAAAGTAGAGTACAACTTCCAACCCAATTAGGAAATCAACAAGAAAAGATGAAGTTAATTTTAGGAATCATTTGATAAAGAAAATACCCTTTTCAATTAAATTACAATATCGAATGAATCATTAACTTTAATGCGAGAAATAAATAAATCGAAACATAGTAGAAATTCCTTTTTAAGTAAAGTACAACCTCAAACGGTTTAAAGAAAATTTAGTTGAAAAATCAATTGAATTAAAAATGTAACAATTGTTGAAATTTGGAGTATTGAACATATATATATATATATAAACAGAATATCAGGAGAATTATAAAGGAATCAAAATCCAACCACTAACAAGAATAAGGAAAACAAAGGCAGATTTTACTTTCTTTTCACATCTTGTTGCTGTCGTGCAACCCGATCCCATTTCTTGTATCTCGTGGCAGGCGTGCCACCCGCTCCCATTTCATGTANTGTCATACTCCACAATTAACATGTAGGAAATAAGACACAACTCCTAATCCCTCAAGCTAAGGTTAGACCAAACACTTACCTCACTTTGCAACCAATTCAAAATTTCAACAAGCCTTTGTCTCGCGAATTCGTGCCCGAAATTCTCAAATTTAGTCATAAACAATTCGATTCAGTCAATAAAAATTGTAGGAATTAATTCCATATGAAATTCTACATTTTTCATTAAAAATCCGAAATTGCACTAAAAATTCGTCCGTGGGGCCCATGTCTCGGAACCTAACAAAAATTACGGAATATGAAACCTCATCCAACCACGAGTCCAACCATACCAATTTTACTAAAATCCGACATCAACTCGACCCTCAAATCTTCAAATTAAACCAAGAGGGTTTTCAAGATTTTCCCAACTAAAATCACCAATTAAATGCCAAAACTAGTAATAGCTTCGGGTAATCTAACCAAAATTAAGTTAAGAACACTTACTCCATTGTTTTCTCCGAAAATCGCCTCTCCCCGAGCTCTAATTTGATAAAAATGGAAAATGGGACGAGTCCCATTTTCAAAACTTAAGAATCTGTCCAGAAAATGTCGGGCCACTGTTCACTACACTGTTCACCGGCACTGTTCACGGGGTACTATTCATGGGCACTGTTCATGATGCTGTAAAAAAAGACAGCAGCTTCCCAAAGAGAATTTCAGCAGCTTTTTCTACCCGTTGACCTTCCGAAATCTACCCGAGTCCCTCGGGACTTCAACAAAATACACCACAAAGTGCTAAAATATGATACAGACTTAGTCGAAACCTCAAATCGCATCAAATAATGCTAAAACCCTGAATCACATCCCAATTCAAGCCTAATAAAACTAAGAACGTCCAACTTCTACATTCGATGCAAAAACCTACCAAATCAAGTCCGATTGATTTCAAATTTTGCACACTAGTCATAAATGACATAAGAAAGCTATGAAAATTTTCAGAACTAGATTCCGACCCCGATATTAAAAGGTCAAATCTCCGGTCAAACTTAAGAAATCTTTAACCTTAGATTTCTAGATTCCGTTAAATGGCGATAATTTGATCTAGGGACCTCCGAATTCAATTTCGGGCATATGACCAAGTCCCGAATCACGATACGGGACTACCAGAATGGTCAAAACTTTTATCCGGGTTCATTTGCCCAAAATGTTGACCGAAGTCAATTCAGTTGAGTTTTAAAGCTCTAGTTCACAATTTAATCCATTTTTCACATAAGAACCTTCCGGAAAATTATACGGATTGCGCACGCAAGTCGAGGATTTATTGATAGCACTTTTCAAGGTCTTAAAATACTGAGATAATTATTTATTTTAAAGATGACATTTTGGGTCATCACAATTTGTGTCCAAATTTTCAGCAAAAAAGTATCTAATAGCTTTCTCTTGAAAACAATCCAAGAGCTTAACAATTAAATCTTCTATCTAAATACTTTTTGGCATTTGACCAATGGAAAAGATATCATGTACAAATCTTGAAATTATATGTCCTATGCAAAATAGAAACTTTGTTCAATGAAAGAGATTGTGTGTATATTTTTAGAATTATTATTAGTAACTTTAAAATTTTATATGGCTATTATAAAGGGGTAATTTTATAAAGAGCATTGTGCTATAAATATGGCAGTTGCTATTATACGTAAAAAGTTATTATAAAGTGGTAAAATATAACTAAAAAATCGATTATGAGGAAAACTTGACTTTTATAGTGAATGATCGTTATATATGGACGTTGTTATAGAAAGGTCTGACTATAAATACATTTGACAATTTGACCATGTTAGACAATTCAGCATAAATGAATGTTAGGGAAAATTGCGCAATATAGCAGCTAAATATATATTTTTTGACAAGCAAATATAATTATTCTTTGCTGACCGATCAAATGTGTAACTTGCCTTAAATTCTTTAATATATCAAATGGAAAATGGAGCAACTCTATTTAAAATGCAAATTATTCAATAGAAATGAAACAAAAAGTTATTATAAAAAAAAAATCAATAAGTGAAACATCCTGTGTTCACACAAATTCGTGAAAGGACCGCAACACAAGGCAGTGATATAAGAAAGAAATAGAAGTAAGTTCAAATATATTAATAATACTATATTATTATTCCAGTGTACCAAGCCTTATTTCTGTCAAGTTGATCGGATAATTCAGAATCTAATCAAAATTTGAAAGAAAATTTCCATTTTATTAGCTAAAAATGTGCTCCAATTTTTCTTTAAAACGAAAATCCAGACCCACTTTGTTTGGGGTGGGGGGAAGAAGAAGAAAGAAACTTATATCGTCGTTGGGATAAATTTCGAACATTTAACACGTAAGAAAAGTCTAAGCTAAGTGCTTCAAGACCTTTTGACACTGCAAAACACTAGTGTGGTGAACAACTAATCAAACAACCTATACATGTCGAATTATAATGTACTTTTAACCAAATGAAGGTCCACAATTCGTGATGTCATTAGTAATTTAGAGTTGGATAAAATAATCCCAAATAAATAAGTAAAAGTAGTAAAAAAAAAAGAAAAAATGATATTGTATAGCCGCTGTAAAAATAATACTTAGCCGACAAAATGTATAAAATTTGTATATTTTGTATATATATATATATACATTCTGTATGTTAATATACAAAAATTATACAAATTTTATATACTTTTTTGACTATCAAATGTAAATAGTTTCTGGCGCGGGCTAAAAGTGATAATACCTCGTTTAACAACCGAAAGTCCATAAAAAGTTCAAAAATGTGAAAGTTATTGGTAAGTCCCTCCCAAAACCAATCCCAATATTACATCAAAGAAAATTATGTTCTCCACAAGCAAGAATACAATTATTTCCTGTACAAAAGGAATATTTTTCTATTCTCTCTAGCTAGTACTTATTTTATGATAAATATTACTCCCGTCATTTCAATTTATGTTGCACTATTTAGAAATAATTTAACTATAAATTTCCTATATTTTATTCTAATTAAATGACTTACAATCATGCACAAATATCTATGACTTGTTTCTTGTTTTAAATCGTAAAACTTCCTTTTTTTTCTTAAATTCGTAGAGTCAAACACCACCACAAAAATAGGACCGACAGAATACTAAATAAAAGAATTAGAATGTAGTATCAAATTTGTGACTAGAAACGCCCTTGAGTGCGACATCCACTACTCAAGCCAGACAGCAATAGAAGAGCAAGTTCCTCCTCAAAGAAAGTAAACGCCAATCCTTCATCTTCAACTTTCCGGTGACCTTCCACCATATTTTCCGGTATAATCACGCTCCGGCAAAGCGGGCAAGTTCCTTGTCCCTTCCCATGCATTAGCCATTTATTTAAGCAATTTCCATGGAACATATGACTGCAACTTTCAATCTTCCTCCCTTTATCTCCGTGCTCGAATTCCAATAAGCAAATCGCACAATCAAGTGGTTCTGTAGCAGCTAACCCCAGTAACTTCCTCTTTTTATACACAAATTTAGAGCTCTTCTTGTTTATTATTTTCCTACACTTTTGTTTTTCTTGTCTCTGTACGTATAAACTGACTGAAACAAGAGAAACCAGCACTAGAAACCGTAGTACTTTAGGAAGCCATGAATAGAATAAAATGTTGATCAGTTCGTTAAAATGAGAGAAGAATTTAGTGAGAGCAGGCATATTTTTTTCCTATTTTGGAGGATTTGCTGAAAAGAGGAGCTCTATTTATATAGTTTAAGAAGAATCAAGGTGAATGGTAGTCTTTTTTGGAATATTAGAACGTTTTGGAGGTGGCGGCTGTCTTATAATTAAACATATTTATTACTAATCAATATACAGAACGTCATACGATGCATGTTAAGATTATTCAAAACTTTATTAAAGGCATGTTAAAAAGAATGTGCCTAATTTTAAAGCTTTCCAACGAAGTTTCCTTTTCATAACATTGTTATGATTTATTTCTTCGACTTTTTTACGTTGGCTATTTGGAATTGTTAACCTGCTTGTGGATAACCTAGAGGTTGTACGGAATATTGAAAAATGGATTTAGTCATATTAAGTTAAAATTATACCAAATTATTTATCGCTTCCTGTTAGTAATAATCGTTGATTATTAAATAATTAGAGTTACGGATGGTGCGTTATATTTTTTTATGTTTGGATAGTGTCTTTAGACAACGATAAGCACTATACGGTCAACTTTAAGAACCGTGAATACTAAAATTCTTTTTTCTCATATTTATAGGAAAGTTTGGAATTTATTACTACTAATTATTTGGTCAGATTAGTCCCATTATACATATCTAAAGGGACAGGACAACTACGTTTAAAGGGAAAACAATACACACGCATAAATATAACAATTTGTATATATTATCTTCTATAACTACGTAATAATTAGCAAATTTTGTCACGGGTAATGGTATATAAAGAATCCAAGTGAGAACTTCAAACTTTATATGTTGCCTAAGTTTGTAAATCGAATTTCTGATTAGGGCACGTTTAATTTTACTTTACTTTACCTCATCAATCATGGGGAGAAATTCACTTGCTGGTTGGAAAAGAACAGCTGGAATATCAAGAACGGAAATGGTAATGTTAACAAGAGTTTAACGTGCACTGATAGCGTAAAAAGAAAAATTCATACTATCAAATCCCTTAAAAATATCTGGCAAGCTTTCTCACTGTTCCTCTCATCTAATACCCAGAAAGAAAAATTTGAGGACAATGGAATAAAAGGGCAGCTCGATGCACAAAGCATCCCTCTATCCTAATGTAAGTATTATTTTTATGGTTCGAACTTGTAACCCAAAAATAATGTTACCGTTGCTTTAAGGCCCATTTAAAAAAAGTCTTAAATGAAGACTTTTAAGTTCTGTGCGACAACACTAATAGTGTGAAAAATAAAAATTAGGTAAAAGGTAATAAAAAACAACTATATTTAAGATTGACAGTTAATCTAGAATAATATATTAAAGAATCTAAAGCTCCTCTAGATCGTCGTGTGAGCTTTGAAGGTTGCTTTGGTAATTTCAATTGTGCTTTCCTTTTTCATTGGTTACTACAACGCTGTTACTGTAGCTGCTACATAAAATCTTACCCGTGCAGACTGTTATGTCCTTAAAAAAATTAACCAACTTCCATTAATTCTTTTCCTATCCCTACACTTGCTAAAAGAGTGGGTCCTACATTACACTTTTAGTTCCATACCTGTACCTTATTTGATGTGTCATCACCACTCACCAGCATAGTCTTACTATTTCTGGTGCATGATGTCCACTGGAGCTGTCCATTACGATCAGATATCCGAAATTCGAACCGATTCATTCAATTTCGAATTCCGGAGTTTAGATTGGATCGGATTTCGGAGTTCAGATTGGAACGGATTTCGTATAGTGTTTATTAAAATTTTGGATTTCGAATGTATATTTTAATCCGATCCGATCCGAAATCCAAAATTATTAGGGCATATATAAATACTATACTTTAATTTCAGATAGTCGGTACTTACTTTACATTTTTCTTCAAGCTATTACCTTTACAATTGCTGGATTTAGCTATATTGGCAACATAGTACTCTCTAATTGCATAAACATGAATTTTTGTTAATATATTGCATCTTTTACAAACAAAATATACATAATTTGCAACTTTGAGGCATAATAATACGATCCGAAATCCGATCTGATCCAAACCGATATAATTCGGATCGGATTTGAATTGCATTTTCTAGAATCCGAAATGTGCTAAATCCAATCCGTGCACATCCGCACGTTGTGTGCTCTTTTTTTTCTTTTTCTTTTTTTTTTTGCTAAACGTTGTATGCTCTTAACAAAAAGGGTTAAGACACTATTTATTCAGTAGTTATTGAAACTTTAGTAGTTCTTAAGAAAGTTTTTGTAATGTAAATTTCGCAAAGTAATGTTCCAATTTAACTAAGAAAAAAAATTTAATGTAATTTCGTAACTAATTCCATATTGTCTATATATTTTGTACGTTTAATTGGATGAACATCGAATCTATATAAACATTAATAATTTGTTGTGTAAATGTTATCATTATTTATAAGGAATTAAATAAACTTCATTAATATCTTAGTAAAATAATAAGATTAATACATGGACTAGATCTGATGATATTGTAGTTTTAGTTGTCAAGTAGCAAAGCTTGCTCGATTCATTTGTATATACACTATGTTTCATTAACTTTCATGTGTAGGTACATTAATTGTAGAGTTACCGAAGAAAATGATAAAAAAAGGTTCTTAACACAAAATATGTGCATGCCATTACGTGGTACATCAATTGTGGAGTTACTGAAGGAAATAATAAAAAAGTTCTTAACACAAAAATACGCGCGGGCCATTATTATTATTATTGTTTGGAGAAATAGATTAATTTTGTTGCAGAGTTTACAAATAGAAAACAAATGTCAACATCGAACTCTTTTTAAATTTTATTTGCACTTACAAGATGTTAGTTAAATTGTTTCATTGTCGGACATGATTTACTTTTAAAAAATAGTAGAATACTCCTAAATTAAAATATTTATTTAAATACATTATTCTACAATTTTGAAATCATTTCGGAAATAGAATTTACAAAGGTAAGATCTATCGATCTTTGCATTTACTACGTTCTTTAATTTGCCAAATGCATTTTTAGTTGATCACTATTTTCATTATGATTGTTTTGTAAGTTAGAGTATATTTATTTTTTTGTAACATAAGTCCACACCATTTCTTGAATGTAAAAGATAAAATTAGGATTTTACGGCAAAAGGATAGTATTAAAGATCACCTCATGGTCGTCGTGTGTGCCTCCTGGAATTAACATTTATTTCGAGAGTACATTTGGAATTTTTGATTCATTTTCGGTGAGCTATATTGCATTTGTGGTCTAAAGAGTTGACTGTTTGCTTTATTTACTGAAAAGCCATGACTATTTCCTCTATTTCCATTGCATCCTTGTACTGTTTATGTAAAGACTTGCAGTCCTTTTTGCAATCTCATTTTGATCCTGCGAGCTAGCAAGAAAGAAATTGTTGTATTTACAGATTTAGAGTCCAGGGACAGATGTATCATTTTATAGATGATTTAATTCCTACAGATGTATCATTTTATAGATGATTTAATTCCTTCTAATGATTTACAGTTAGTACTTCTATAATCATGATAATGAACTAACCAATAGGATAGCTTGTTCGGCAAGAATTAATGAATCAAACGTGAAAAAGTTGATGGACATATTGAAGGTAAATTCATACTCACACACAAAAAAAAAATCAAAAAACTTGCAAAATTTTATGGAAAAACACATTTTGGAAAATAAAAATTGAGAAAAAAGGAAGTTTTTGTTATGAACTAACGGAGCCCAATTTTTCTAGGAAAAACTATTCTTTCCGGTCCAACGGTATGTGTATACTTAATTGAAGCCGAATTTAGAAAATAATCAGCAGCGTTGCATATATAATATTCTTTATAATTGGCGTAGATGTAGTAAATAAGCTTCGTGTTGGGATTAGTATCAAACTAGAAAACCAAATTAGGGTCCGTTTCGCCATAATTTTTTTATTTTTTTACCTTTCTTTCCTAAGACTTTTCACTTCATTTCGAAATCAACATTGTGCATATGGGATAAATTGCGTTGCGAGTCTCAAATTACAAGATTCATGCTAAAACAAAGAGAAAATTATAACTTCACAACAAAATTTAATACACCATAAGTAGAACTAAACTAAGATATTATTAGAAGAGAAAATACTAAAAGAATAAAGGATGAAACACATCAACTGCCAAAAAAATCTTAATATAATTAGACACCATATTTAATTTGTCTATATTAATTTTAGAAAATAAATACGAGTAGTTGGGCCCGTGCTTTAGCACGGGCAATTTTATTTAGTGAATACAATAGTGCACTGATGACCATGTACTGATTCGCATTGTTCCAAAAGACAATACATTTATCCTTAACTATACGAACAAAAGAAGTTCCTAATTTGTCTATATCGTTGCCAGAACAAATATAAGAGGAACTACTGTTGGATAGTAGAGATATTTCTTTTGTACATAATCAGATTTATTTTATTATTCGATTGTATATTTGTGTAGTCCGGCCTTTGAATTAATAGGTAGTCCAATAACCCATTCTTTGTATTTTGGCCCAAGGCCCAATTGTAAAGATCCGGACCAACTATCTTTTATATAAATAGAAGAGCTCTGAGTCTGGAAGCTTCAGATGCTCAATTTCACAATTGCACAAGATATTTTCTTTCCCTCTGTCTCTCAGATTCTCTTTCTTCTCACTAACAGCTAATCGACCACGATGATCTTAACATGGTATCAGAGCGGTGTATCCGGGTAATCCTGAGAGTTAATCTTCTTCGTTGTATGAGCATCTCGTCGACATTTGTTTTTTCGGAGAAAAGTTGTTCGTGTTGTGTTCGTTGGAATTTTGCCGGAGTTCGGTATTTCTCCGACAATCTCTTTCAATTCCTTCTATTTTTTCGCAAATACTCTGACTTTGCTTCAATTTTTTTTATTGAAAATTGCTTCACTTTTGCTGTATTGCTGGTGAAATACGAAACCTCTAAATTTACTCTTAGTCATGGGTAGGGCTGCTCGGTGGGCCGGGCCTGAACCGGACCGGACCGGGCCCGCGGTCCTAACGGGCCTGGTGGGCCTGGTGGGCCGGTCCTGGGTGGGCCGGTCTTGGTGGGCCTCTGAGCCCGTCACGGGCTGGTCTCCATGGTTGAGCCCACGAGCCCGGGACCGTTTGGCCCGGGACCGGCAGGCGGGCCTGGGCCGGTCCTGGCGGGCCTGGCGGGCCCAACGGCTATTTTAAAAAAAAAAAAAAAAAAAAAAAAAAAAAAAAAAAAAAACCTCACCACACATGGCACATGACTCGCTAAGGACGGTCA